ATGCTGCCTGTTAAAGCTTAAACTGCCAAACATACGACGGGACCGGGGAAAAAACAAACTGTAAGGGCGGGGGGGGTGGCGGGTGCGGGGGGAGGAGGCGTGTGCACTGCGGTTCTCCAAGAGCCATGTTTTACACTGCGCTTGATGAGGGGTGAAGTTGTTAATCTGGGAAATAAAGCATGAGGCATCCACACTGCCACTGGAGATGTAGGCGCTGCCCTGTGGTGCAGAAGGAGCCATTTTTTTCATTTAAAACCTCCAACTATTAAGTGAATTGTTGAGAGGACATTTTGTTGAGATGTTGAGTGTTAGGGAAGGAGAAGGGGGGGGGAATGAAAGCAGACTTCTTCCTGGCTGTGTTGGCCGCCGCTGTGTTTCCTGTCCAACAACAGCAGAGTGTGGATGGTTGGCTGATTTGAACAATAAATATAGCGACTTGTAACTGATGTCACATCGCCCGTGTTTTGTCACCTGAGGAGAAAAGCAGCAATCAGGGTGTTTGGTTCGACTCCGGAGCAACGAGCTGGTGTGTGTGTGGGGTGGGGGGTGGGGGGTGGGGGGGCTTCAAGCGTTCAGGTTACTGCTCCAGCTGTTTGGAAAGCCTTTTGCAGAGATCTATGGATGTTGCCACATCATTAGGCAAAGTGAGACCTCTGTTACACTAACTGTTCCCAGCCCAACCACCCCACAATCCCCACCCCCCACCCCCAGAAACCCAGAGTACTCCCCAAATATAGCTTGTGAAAATGTTTAGGCTGGCAGGGTGAAACAATGCTGCAAAGAAGCCATTTGTCATTTCTGAGTTCAGATGATCTATCAAGCTTATGTTGAGCAGAACACCGCCACATGCAGTAAATCGATCCCCGCGCTCCGTTTGACGGTGATCTCTGACTGTCTCTGATGTAACAATAAAAAAAAATTAAATTTGAAAAAGCCGTGTTGCTCATACTTCTGCTCTTATTTCATGCAAGTTGAGTGAGTCAGAGTGAATTAAAAGGGGGATGACTGGCACGCAGTAGGAAATATCATGTTGCTGTTTCCGTGTTTAAATCGCCAGCGGTGTGCCAAGGATGTGGGGGGCGGGGGGGTGGGGGGGGGTGCGGAGGATAGGCAGTCCTGAGACCTGTAAGCACGCCAATCGCAGCTCTCAGCGGAGGTTGTTGGCTGAAGACCACAATATGTGCATCTGCTCAAAGTCACTCGTTTGTCATTAGTATGTGGTAAGAGATGTAAAAGTACCTTGGCATCCTGTAATATTGTTTGTTTACTGGTGATTTTTCAGATGTGAACAGACCATAAACAGACTCCCCCTCAAAAAAGCAGCCGTCTCTCTTCGATAAGTTTTAGAACAATTCATGACTGAAACAATGCACACGGATCCTTGTTTGCTCTCTGTGTTTGATATGTCATTAACAAATAATCAGGATCATGTCGGGCAATAACATCATTGTTTGTGTGTTCGTTTCTCTCCCGCAGCCAAGTACAGGTGTAGATATGTACAAGCATTTTGAGTATCTATGGGATATTTCGCCCGCGAGCGTTTAGACACCGTGATTGAGTGACAGCAGTGTGTTTGCTCGGGGCCTCGGAGCCTCCGTCTTTACTCCCCGAGGAGCTCAGAGACAGAAGGAGCTCGGCTTTTGTCTCCCCGCACATTAATCCTTGGCAGCTTCGGTCTCAAACCTGACGTATGTGCTCACACCTGTGTGTGTGTGTGTGTGTGTGTGTGTGTGTTGTGAGGGACGATTAGCGAGTTGTTTCCACTGCTCCGCCGCTCAGTGCATCAGCTCACACCTCTGTTCTGTTTGTTATGTTTGTCTTGTCAGGGATCCACGCAGGACCTCAAATAGTTTGGGAGCTGCACGGGTCAGTTCACTGACACCAAGACAGCTGGGCGCTTTTCTCTAACCTTTCTTTTTTTAAAACCCTTTAATACCTCAGGTGTGAAACCGCGCACAGTGAATGATGTATGTATAAATCACCACCCAAACCTTTAGAAAACAGTGGTGAATCTATCGCTGATTCTTTTCTTTAACCCTCTGAAGTCGATGGATGTTTCTGTGAATATGTTTGCGATAGTACAGAATCTGTAGACTCTGCACTTTCTTTTACAAATTCTTACGAGATCATACGTGACTCACAGCCTCTAAAATTTGGCTAAAGCAGAGTGACAGACAAACACTACAATTCATTTTAGGCTTTTATTATCCATGTATCTACTATCTTACTCATATATTGCGCAATTTCTATGACTCTGGAGACTTTGGTAAACCCGTTTCAAGCACCAAAACAATCCATCCACGGCAGTCAAAGTTTGTTTTCACAAGATATTTGAAGAATTTTTAAAAACTAGGCTTCAATTTTTCAGCATTTGGGCCAAAAGATCTGTTTACACAGTGAGGGGCCTCGTTATGGAGAGAGCTGAGATTGTTCTGAAGATTGTGCTATAAAACACTTGGGTATTATGTGATATGCACACACCCTTTTTAAAGGTGAATTTAGGAAATAATGTGGAAATGGAGAAAATGCCCTTTGACCTCAGAGGGTTGAAGTGTAAGTTAAAGTCAGGTTTTTGTGTTTTACCTGCAGTGGATTCAGATCAGCGCCCTCCCAGTTCAGAGAAGCAGCTGGGAAGCTGAGTGATGTGCTGCCGTGGACGGGGCCAGCTGCAAAAACGTTACGCTTTTCTTTTGAATATTTTCACCTCTTTATCTTGCCGTCGAACACTCCTTTACTTTGGAAAAACATTCTGAGGGGAATTCAAATTTAAGTTTGACTTTTACCAACGAAACAAATCGATGTAATCGCGTCCGGCCCGTGTCGTATCCTGTTACCTTTGCAAGCTCTCCGGTGAGAGATGGACTTGGTCATGTCCCTGTAGTAGCCCTCCTTGCAGTAGTGACAGTGGCGTCCCGCTGTGTTGTGACGGCAGTTGAGGCAGACCCCGCCACTCCTCCGGCCTGACAGCTTGTACAGCTCCATGTTGAAGCGACAGCGGCGGGCGTGCAGGTTACAGTGGCAGGCTGCGCAGAGACACACAGACAGACAGACACTGAATTATCACACCAGAACTCATTTGGCAAAGGACGTCTGAAGTGAATAAAACATTGACCGCTCAGACTTTAAGCAATCCCATGTGTCGCTGTAGTTATGTGAAAACCACGTAACTCCAGTTCACTCTAGTTGCATGGTTACACAGTCCCCCTGTCATCTGAGAGACTCGTGAAACCAAATGCAGTGTCATCAAGTCGGAAAAAAAAAAAAACAGCGGTGTTTTTCTTAGCTCCTGAAAATTGGACCTTTTGGAAACATGAGCCTGTTATCTGACAGTGATGAACTCGGCGCACAGTGTTTACAGACCTTCCAGTTTGCGGTTGTGGTTTGGAGCCAAATGCAGTCAGTTGAGATCCTGAGAAAATGCATTAACTTGAAAGAGGTAATGAAGTCTCAATCTTCCGCTATGAGTTTCATATTAAGACAACAGCTTATTGAAACAAATGGCGTAACTAGCTTGGCCCGCTTCGCTCTGGCCTGAGAATAATGGAGCCTCTAAAAGAAACGTCCCGGTTCAGGCTCTCTTTCACTTGGCCACCTGCTTGTGAATTTAACCTCTGAACCCTGGTGATGTCAGGCAGGAAAATGCTCTTCCGCTCTCCCACACATCTGAGAGACTGGCGTGTTCTGTGATTTATTGTCATTGCTATTTTCACTCGTTAATATTGACCTTGAAGTTCATATTCCTCACGCACTGATTTCAGGCTGTTGCCAAGTTGTCTCATATGGAAACGTTCAATATTGAGAAACAAAAAATGAACCACAAAGTCAACTCATTCTCATAATTATTTATCATATTTATTTTCATAGTGGATTTTTTGTTTTGTTTTAAAATGTTCATTTACAAGTGTTTTTATTTTATAATTTCACCCAGCTAGCAAGCTCAACAATTTCTACCAAATTTAGCTTTAGTTAGCTCCTATAACGTACGTAACAATACCAAAATGTAAAATATAACTGTGTGCAGCACTGCCATGGACTATCTGCTGTCAATAATCCCTGTAACATGATTGATCAGGACAGTTGAGGTTTCGTGTGCCGATACGTAATTACTGGCCGTGGATTTAGTGTTAGATTCTTCCAGGTCATGGTTGCTCATTGTTTCTACCAGCCTAGTTGCCTTATTACTTTGGCTAGGATGCAAGCTTGGGTTGTTACTTAGCATCGTAGTGAGAGAGAGAGAGAGAGAGAGAGAGAGCGTTAGCGGTGTTAGCTTGCTCCCGTTGTCACAGAGTCGTTTGAGGGACATCAGTCGAAACATTGCAGAGCTAACATTAGCTTCTGCTGTTATCTTCGATCTTACAGCAGCATCTCAGTTTGACTCTGTTGTTGTTGTTGTAGCTAACAGGAGCTAATTGGCTAAAGCATGCTAGCATAAGATGCGGGGGGGGGGCATGTGATTGGCTCAAAGGTTGAGGGGCGGGTTGACAAACACCGCTGTTAGCTAAGAAGACATGAAATAAAAAGTGATAAAATCAAATGAGAAGTAATTGAGTCCTTATAAAACTGCCATGAAAAAAAAATAATTTCCCTAATTTTTAGTCTAAATTTTAGTTTTCACTGATTGTTTAAGTTATTTATTCATTTTTACACAAATAATGTACTTATTTATTTCGTAATTGCTTATTCGTTTAATTAATATTGAGCACATTGGGGCTTCATAATCTCTACTGTCACCATCCTCATGTTACTGATGTTTTGTCTTTTATTTTGCTGAACCGAAGCACATACCATTCAGATGAGCAGCCCCTCACGTTCCTCTAATCTCTGCGCCGGTCTTAATGTTATTAGAGGGAGATGGAGCCGATAAGACTCGTCACATATGCTTCAAGTTCATCAGCGGTCTGAATCACGTACAAACCAACTCACACCTGCCATGAGGGACCAGAGCTGGCAGGTGGTTGGGATTCAGAAACACACTCCTTCTGAATGGGGGGCCCAGATATATACAACACACACACACACACACACACACACACACACACACACACACACACACACACACACACACACACACACACACACACAGAGGTGTTTGGCAGCTGTCACAGGCTTATCTCCCACACTTCCCTCCCAGGGCTGATTCAACACACACTACACCAAGCTTTGAAGAACTCTCTCTCTTTCTCACACACACACACACACACACACACACACACACACACACACACACACACCCTCACCCTCCTCCCTTTTCCCTCTCACTCTTTACTGCTTTCTTATCCCAGATGTTATCTCCACTTAAGGGAAGTGTGAGGGGGAAAATGCAGCGGGGCCTTTTTTCATGAATAGGAAGTGGAATGCTCTTCGTTGTATCTGGGTCGGATGCTGGTGCTGTTCTTTCATCTTCCAGAATATTCGGACGCAGACGCAGTTTATTATTACGCTGCATCCGTCTTACCTTTTTCGAAAAAAAAAACAACAAAACAAAACAAAAAAAACAAACAAAAGGTACAAATGTACCTTTCTTTTACGTGCGCGTGACGGCGTCATGAGACTAATAAACGCTATCTGCCCAGCTGTCCTCAGGTCCTTCTAATGAACGCTGTGCTATCTCATCCACACATCCTCGCTCTGCTCACACAGTTGTCCGGCAGTGACAATAGCGCGAGCGCCGATAAGCCGCGTTAAGAGCAACAGGCTGCCAGCATCTGTCACATGCCAAATAACCGAGTGTGCACGTACCATGTTAAAAGTCTTAGGGAGGGGGAGGGGGGGAGCACAGGTAAACCGCTCAGTCACAAAAACACAGTGTTCCCAACCATGATCTCACGTGGACACCATCACTCGTGATCCAAATGTGGTCATTTTGATTTTAAACACGGTTAACTCTATAACAGTAGATGTTGGTGCAGTATTTTTTTTTCATACAGCTCAACATTCATTGTTTAGTTTGGATTGCATTTTGTTGTTTTTTTTTGTTAGTTTGCATTTGTACCATTAGTGCCAGACATTTTCAACCATTTATCAGTTATTTAAGGAAACTATTTGAGTCATTATTCAAGCTAACTACAGTATTTTAACCATTTAAGTTACTTTATTCAACTATTTCAACCATTTATCCATTACTTTTAGCTTTTTAACTTCACTGCTCACTTGCTAACTCATCCTTACACTCTCATCTGCAGCCACATGGATCAGATGTTACAGCTGACTCTGTGGATGTATAGTTAAATCAGATTTCTTTACAATCTTTCCACACACCCTCTGGCAACTGTAAAAGTACCCCAGCTTTGAAATCACATGCTGGCTCGTTTGTCTTATACTTGTGTAATAACAATCAAAAACTATAATGGTATTATTAAAGTACCAAAAAATAAATGTGTAACATTTTCATATAAAGAAATGACAACTGATCACACAATAGTAAGTAAATCAAATTTTTGTGTGTGTTTTTTTCTTTGCAGCAGTTGCTTGTTTAGAATAAACAGAAGAAGGAGGAAATGAACACACAAAGAAAAGTTTGGAAGGAGAAAAACCAAAACGTAAGAAACAGAAAATCAAAAAGATATGGTTGTTACACAGTTTGAATACTATTAAAAAAGAAAAAAAAAAGAAAAATGCATATAAAGGAATAGTTGTTGCTGCTGACTGTGATTTTACTCTGGACATCCAGAGCAGCAAGATGTCTTTTTCTGAGTCTGCTTTCATTTGGTTTCAAGGGCCTACTTAGAGCTATGCTATTCCAATCTATTTATGTTCAAGTGCCATCTATCAGGCTTAGTGAAGGAAGCGCTCGTGGTGGGTGTGCATATTGGATGGAAATTACGCATCCCACAGCTCGGCGGAGGCGGGTTTTTTTTCGCTCCGTCTGCAGAGGAGGGCACACTTCAGAAACAATCAAACATCTGTACACGACAATCTAATGAAATTTGGTTATGGATGTTTTTGAAGGACGCGGGAGTTTACCAGCCCTGCCAACAGGTGTCTGATGTTTAACCATACAACACGTGCGTATGAGAAAGAGAGAGAGAGAGAGACTCGGGGCACGTTGTGAGCGTGATCTGCACCGAAAAGAATGCACCGCTTCCCCGGGGACGTGGAGAAAGATGGAATTCCAGCACAATTGTTGTGTTTATCCAGGACCAATTACTCTCTCGCTGTGCGTAATCCTCGTGCCGTCACTCCTGTCGTGAGCCGATGACGTGCGCCAAATCAAACAGGGGTTCGCGTCTCATCGCGGCCCGAGATCTGAGGAGAAGACGACACTCAACGGATCACAGAGGCGTATCTTCGTGACAACAGTTGGTTTAGTGGTTGGGATATCTCCCCGAGACGCGCACACATGCCGACACTAGCTGTACTTGTTGTGAATGTCTTCGTTGGATGACAGTATTTTGTTTTTCAGTGCGTGTTGGCTGCATATCTTTGGCCTCTCTCTCTCTCTCTCTCTCTCTCACACACACACAAGCACAAGCTGTTGAAGTTACATACTTGATTCCAAGGTCTCACTGCAAAGCATATAGAGATTATACAATGCTTGCATAACACCTGTGTTGCATATGTGGGTGATGCTTCACAAGTGTCACAAGAGTTCATTAATATACATGAAGTGCCTATGGGCTTTTTGCTGTTTAAAAAAAACATAGGTATCACTTTGAGATTACAGCTGCAGGTTCCATCTGAAATGGGGCTGACTTCGTCTGTAATAAGGGATTTTCCTCCCACATCTTTCACTGCTTTATCCTGGTGGTGGTGTGCTCTTGCTTCAACATAATAATCATTACCCCAGCTGGTAATGATTTGACGGGACATTAAAAGTTGTCCCGGCTTCTTCTCTAACATCAGTTTTGATTGTTAGATGGATCCTACGCCGGGATTTATTACAGTCTCCAGCATTTTATCATCTTTTTTTAAAACCGCGCACAGAAGTATTAGTTATGGACGTACACGCTTCTTCCCAGGATTGTGTTGTATTTCTTTTTTCCAACCATTTTACATTTCAAAAAGAGCAGAGAAACATAATTTT